CTCCCCATTTTATGAGGAAATTGAGGCCCAGAGGGGCTTATCCAGGGTCACCCAAGTGGAAAGGATTTGAATCCAAGTGGTTGGGTTCCCAGGCCATGCACCCGATGATTGTTACTTCGGCTTGGTAAGCGTGGGGTGAGGGAGGAAATGAGGGACAGAAGCATCAAGGGTGTTTGACCCCACTGGCTTTTTCCTCCAGGTGGGATTTTATTCATCTGGTGACTCAGGTCACAGGTACACAGTATGCAAACCCTTCATGGAATTTTTGGGGAGCTTATTTATTTTTGGTTTACATGATGACCAACTCCAGTCTCTCTCCTCCCTTTCTCCCCTCACTGGTAACAAGCTTCTGGGCTTTCAACTAAGAATTCATACAGTTAGGATTTACATCATGGAGGCTGGAGACAGTCCCCGCCTGGACCACAGCTTCCTATAGCAAGCACTGCATACTGAGGACGTGTGGGAGTCTTTGGAGCTCATGATCAATTTAGGGAAAATAGTTTCAAATGGCTATGAATCATTCATAGGAACCCACGGTCTGGTGGTGGCAGGGTAGGGGCATTAAGTGACGAGGACCAGCAGAGATACCATTTTTGAAATGTGTTGGTGCATGTTTAAAGCTTGTTTTATAGCTGACTCTCCCCGAGTCAGCCAGAGGCCATCACTGCCTAGTGAGGATTATGACGGATCCTTTCTCTTTGCAATTGCGGTAGAACAATGTTCAACTTTGACTCCCAAAGTAAGATCTTAAAGCCTATAGTGAGTCAATAATCTCCAAAGTCAGGCATTATGGAGAGAAAAGAGGGCTTTTTGAATTCTCCAAACTCCCTTCTATAGACCAAGAGCCAAACCAGGACAGCTCAGAACATAGTTTTCTCCTAGGTGATGACGAGAGAGGATGGAAGGGAAGTTCCCTGCTGCTGAAGGAAGTTTCCACTACAGGAGGGGAGAGAAAGAGGTTGACAAGGACAAAATTAAGGTGAGTAGCTGTCTGAGTTCCTCAAGGGCCCACAGCCCTGTGTGGGTGGGCTGGGAATAATGAGAAGGGCAAGGAGGTAGACATCCCACCTGTAGGGGTCTGCTGTGGGGTAGGGATGGGCCTGGTAACAAAAGAAAGAAGGTGATATTCCACTCCCCTCTCTTTAGGGCCCCCAGGGCCTGTATGTGGAAGGGTCCAGAAGCTCCTCAGCTGATGAGAGGCTTGGCTGACAAGCTCCCAGCAGGATGGGCAGTCGGGGAGGCAAAGTGACAAACTTCTTCTCCTTCTCTGCTCTTCCGAAGCTGGAAAGCAGGCCTTGGATCTTCTTAGTCTTTGTGCACTGATGGTGCCTAGAACTGCACTTCTGCCATTCAAGGTTTTCCTGCTGAATAGGAGCCCCACCCACCAGGACACACAGGGCCATGCTGAGCGGTATGGTTTCTCTCCTCTCCAACCCCACAAAACCTCACACTAAGATCATGTTGACTCCAAGACAGCCTCAATGGCTAAAAATCCCTGAGTTCCTATGATGATCGAGACTTTGGGCTAGATCTTCAGGGGGAAGGGCTAGGAAAGTTTAGGTTTATTTAGAGCTCTGGTGTGTGTGTCTCCTCCGAGCCTCCAGAACCCCAGCTCTTCTTCTAGACTTCTCTTATGGACTGGAGTTTGAAAGTTACATCTCTGTGCATCCTTAGACCCCTTACTGAATGGTCAGTACCTTGAGCGCTGATGATGATGATGATAATGGAGAAGAAAGACAACTTCCTGAGGGCTTAATATGTGCCTGGAACTTTCCAAGCACTTTATAGATATTAGTTCATTTAATCTTTGGGTAACTCTATAAGTTCTATTATCATCATCCCCATTCTACAGATGAGAAAACTAAGGCACAGAGCTATTTAGTAACTTGCCAAGGGCATAGAGTTCCAACTGGCAGAGCCCAGACCCATCTCAGGCAGTGAGACCACAGGGCCTTCACTCCCATGCTGTGTCTGATCTCCCTGTGTGTCTTTATGGGGCCTGGCAGATAATGGGTGCTCAGTAAAGACTAGTTTTTTTTTTTTGTGAGGAAGATTAGCCCTGAGGTAACAGCTGTTGCCAATCCTCCTCTTTTTGCTGAGGAAGACTGGCCCTGAGGTAACATCCGTACCCATCTTCCTCTACTTCATATGGGATGCTGCCACAGCATGGCTTGACAAACGGTGCGTAGGTGCGTGCCCAGGATCCGAACCTGCGAACCCCAGGCCGGGCCGCCACAGCGGAGCGTGCGCACTGAACCGCTACGCCACCAGGCCGACCCCTAAAGACTAGCTTTTTAAATAATCATCACCTCATCAACCCTTACTACCACTGTGTCGCGATAGGAAAGTTCTGATCAATGGATCTGCACTCTCTGAATGTCAGCTATAAACGTCTTTGGACTTGTCTAGTTTCTTGTTGGCTTTCTTGATAGTTTGGCCCTCCCCATCACCCTGCCCAGCCTGCAGCAGAAGCTCTGGAAAGATGGAGGCTCTGAACTCATAACGGCCTCAACGAAGACTCACTCCCAACTTGGCCTGTGACAGGTCCCCTGCCAGCCAAACTGTGCCGTCACCAGTGGGCAAACTTCCTGGTAATCCTCACATTGAGTCCATGTGATGCACACACGAGATATCAACATCAATCCTGCTCTGGAGCCAGGGGAACGGACCCGATGACCCCTGTGACCCTTCCAATCCTCAGAGTTCAGGCTCACGGGAGTCACCTTTGTGGTTTTAAAGTATTCATCTTTTTGTTCTTTAACTAGTCTCAGGAAATAACTCTAATGTATGAACAGTCCTACTTTAAGCCCTATTCACATTTTGCACTCTTCATCAAGGCCCAGTTCAAATGATATCTCCTTCTCCAGGAAGCCTCCCTTGCTTATCCAAGTGGAACTGAACTTCTCTTGTTTGAACCGCAGCCATTAGCTTCTCTGTGCTGGTCACTCTGGTCACTCCCTAGTGCCTCTACCTAGCTCTCGCGGTCTTGCCTGTTTTCAGCTCCAGGCAGGGCCCAGATTGCACACATGCTCAGGCCCCACCTCCAGCTCCTTGCAAACAGATGTGGTTCCAACATTGATGGATATGTTTAATGAATCCCATATTTCAAGAACCCAAACTGACCAGGCATAACTCAGGGGCGGTTTTCTCCATATAAAGGGAGCTCTGAGTCACAAATCCTGTCCCTGTCCTTCACACGCCCCCACCCCCCGCACTTAAGTGACAACAACATTGGCAAGCATTGCTCCAGCCCTACTGTGCACCAAGCTGTATGTTAAAGACTCCTCTTACAGTGCCTCCCTTAACCATCCCGACAACTTTATGAACTCAGAATTTCTATCTCCAGTCCACAGAGGAGGAGACTTGTTGAGAGATTGCATAACCTCCCAAGGTTGTCCAGCTAGTGGGCAGCAGAGCCAGAACTGGAAGCCAGGTCTGATTTCAAAGGCTTTGCTCTTAGCTTCCTGAGGTCCAGACGGTGTCTAGCCCCTCAGGCAGCCACTCCATCTCAGGGTCTGGTGGGATGGTCCCACCCATCTGCAGTCACACAGGGGTGCATTCCCTTTTCCTGTGGCCTGCTCTCCCAGCGATTTAAAGACAGTTCCTGCAGTTGTTTCCCCTCCTGTCTAAATGACCTAGAGTGGCCTTCGCCTCCTCCTGTAGCCGGTTTCTAGATGTATGCCCGCCTGTCGCAGCTCTTCCCCTGCCCTCTTCAAACCCCCCACCCCAACAACTTCATGCATCAACGGTGGTTTTCAACTGTGACTCTAGGATCTGAACTGAACCGCACCAGCCAGAGGCCCTTTGAACTGCAGGCCCTTCCAGAATCTCCATTATAGACTGACAGGGGGGTGCACTTGTTTGTGTGGCATCCTGGGACTGGGGTGAGGAGAGCGGGCCAGGGGGTCTCCACTTGAACTCTCTAACGGCGCTTCTCCCGCTGCCACCGCATCTGACTCCTATTACGTGCCCCGGCCCCAGCCTGGTGCCCACGCAGAAGGGAAGGCAAGGTACGGCCGTTAGACCCCTAGGCGGGCGCTCATCCTCGCCAAGGAGGGGCCCCGAAAGCTTCTGCCACCGGTAGAACAGCGCCGCTGGCCGCCGCCCCCGCGTGGCGGGTCAGGCCGGGGCGCCCGGAGTGGGGAAGCTCGGGCCAGACGCCCCAGTGCGGAGAGCCCAGGGCTGCCCTATCACTCCCGGCCGCGCGCCCGGCTGGCCCGAGGTCCCCGACACCTGGAGTGCATTAGGCGGCGGCGCGCGTCTCGGCGACAGCGGCTTCCCCCGGATTATTGGATAATTGCATAATAATGCGCGGGTTGGGGGGCGATGCCCCGGCCCTACACCGAGTGTCAAGTAACTTTTTCAGGGGCCCTGGACTGCGGAGCTGCGCCCGCGGCCTTTGGCCTCTCCGGCGACGGCTCGCCACCGCTTAGGGGCCGGCCGCCCAGGAGGTTCGCTCCGTCTCTGGCCGGAGGGACTCTGGGCGGCTTTCGGCTGCCAGGTCTCCCCCAGCCCTCACAGACCGCCAAGCCTGGCTCTCCACACTTCGGGATGCTCGCTCCCCGCCAGCCGGGAGGGCAGCCGAGGCAGCGCTCGCTGCGCGCGTCCTGTCCCTTCCCGGCCCCGGCCGCGCGCCCTCCGCGCTCCCGGGACGCCCGAGTGCCCCCGGCGGCGGTGCGGGAACCCCGGCGTGACCCTTGGAGGTAGCCAGGCAGTCCAGTGGGGCCACCCGCCCTTGGAGCTTTTCACCTCGAGCCTCGTCAACTTTTCCTAAAAACACCCAAGTCCCGACTGCAAGGCGCCTCCGCGCGTCTCCCTCTTCTGCGGAACTTGGCGGAGCCGCTGGACTGCAGCCAGTTCCCGGGAACCCACGGCCCCAAGAGCAGCCAAGGTCCGACCCCGGGAGGCGCACCACGTCCCTCTCCTGGCAGCTGCATCCGAGGCCCCGGCGGGCCAGGGAGGGGCTCCCAGAGGCAAGAGAAGGCAAGGGGGGCACGTACCTGGCCACAGGCTGAGCGTCCAAGCCACCAGGAGGCCCCTGGGCAGGTCCATGGCCCGCGGCGCGGCGACGGGTGCCCGGTGCGGAGCGGTGACGGGGGGCGGCGAGCCAGAGCGGCAGCCTCCTCGGCGCGGCGCCTCGAGCCTGCACTGCGCGCGGCGCGCCGGGCTCCCTGACAGCCGCGCTCATTCAGAGGAAGTGGGAGGGCTCGAGCGGCGGGGAGGGACGCCGGACACCACCCCGGCTCTGGCTCCGCTCCAGTCTCGGCCCCTCTGCCACCTGGGCAGGCTGCGGCCTCGACGCCGTCTCCAAACCTCTCCTTCTCCCTCCACCTCACCTCTGCCCTGGGAGAAAACCTGAGAACCGCTCTGGGGAACCACCTCACCAGTGTAGCACCTCCCTTTACTCCACCACCACCAAATTCAGGAAAAGTGATTTATATCCCATTTCCCGGAGGAAAGGGCTCCACAAAGCTGAGAGAGGTGACCCAGGGACACTGGCTGTGACTCAGGTCTCCCTTGGCCAAGGAGAGTGGATGTCCCTCGAACCTCCATTCTGAGACATCCCCCTGCCTCTCCACACCCTGAAGCTTGGAATTTAGCCACAGTGCTTCTCCTGACCTTGGAGTAGATGCAGATCCCCCTCCTCCACCTCCTCTTTCCCCACCCCCCACACCTGAGACATTCCAAAGCTTCCAGGAGGACCCCATGACCCCTTTTACCATAACAGAGAGGCTCTTCTTCGGAACCCAGCCACCTTCCTTCCCAGCCCTTCTAACGACTGACAGTTAAACTCAATGCACATTTGTTGCACAGGCTTTAGATCAGGCCCTGGACCACAACCCGTGGGTGTGGAGGCCAGCCTTTCCAGCAGGGGAGAGAGCTGAGAAGAGGGTAGGATGGCCGATCGGTGGAAGCTAAAGCAGAGGCCACACATCACTTTCTCAGGAAAGCCTTCCCTCACCCCTATCCTCACCAGGTCAGGTCCCCAGATACAAGCGCACTCTCATTTTTCTTCATTGTACTTAGTAGAGAAACTAGACATCAATTGGTGTAATCATTTGATTGCCTCGTCCAGACAGAAAACACCATTAGGGTAGAAATCTCTGGTCCACAACTGAGCACTTAGCCCCCAGTACCCAGGAATGTAGTAGGTAGGTGGACAGATGGATGGATGGATGGATGGATGAATGGGTGGGTGGCTGAGCACAGGTGATGTGTGGGTGCACAGAGGGTGGAGCTTTCTGTCCAGGAGGAATTGGAAGGGCTTCCCAGAGGAGGTGACATTCAGGCTGGGTCCTGGAGGAGGAGGTGGGGTTTGAGAAGGCCCAGGTCCACATAAGTAGGTATAGTAGTGGGCATTGTGCCTGCTCCCCAACATTGCTCTCTTCTTGGTAGCTACCCTGGTTTTCATTTCAATATCCTCCCCTCTCCCACTCAGCCACAGACTTTGGGGGAAGATGGTCCCGTCCCTGCGGCGTGTATGTGGGGGGCGTGTGGTTTAGGTTGAAATGAATCAGTGTATTGCCCTACCCTGGCCATAGTTTAAGAAGGGACAACGTGATGAAGGAAAAAGGTTTTCTGGGAAACAAGCTTTCTTGCTCTTCTAAAAGTGCCCCTAGAATGAACTAACTAACTAACTAACTAATTCTTTCTGTCCTCCCCTCCCCCACCCCCATCTCCCCTCCCAGGCTGGGACAAAGAATCATAAAGGCCTGGAAGTTGATGGGGTGGGGAAGAGAGCTCTGGCCTTGGGATGAGGCAGACACTGGATGACAAAATGGAGAAACCAAGTCCAGGAGGGTCTTCCTGAGCCCCTGAATCAAGCCGCCCCTCAGCCTGCTCCCCTCAGGACTTGCCAATTATGTGACTGAGTCCCCTCTATTGTTTAAGCAGGTTTGAGTCAGGATGCTTTGAACCTAGAGATAACAGCTGTCCAATGGGCTGCAAACCACTTCCCTGCCTCGCACAAATTCATGCTCTCCCTAGTGATTTTCAAAATCTGTGCAAGGGAATTGCCTGGAGCACTTGTGAAGGTTGCAAATTCCCTGAAGATCAGGGCGTCCTGATGGGCACCGCAGGCACTCTGACTGCACACTGCTTCCTGAGGGGCTGTCTGCGGTGGGTGCTGCTGCTGGTCCTCGAGAAACAATTCTGCCATTCATTAACTCACCTTCTTCTCATCAGGGGTATGGGGGTCCTGAATCCAGTACAGTAGTCCCCCCTTATCCGTGATTTCACTTTCCACTGTTTCATTTTAGATGGAAAATTCCAGAAATAAACAATTCATAAATTTTAAATTGTGTGCCGTTCTGAGAAGCGTGATGAACTCTCGCACCCTGCCACTACCTCCTGCCCAGGACATGAATCATCCCTTTGTCCAGCACATCCATGCTGTATACGCTACCGGCCCGTTAGTCACTTAGTATCATTTTTGGTTATCAGTATATTGTTACAGTATATTTTTTTATTTTATTATTAGTTATTATTAATCTCTTACCTTGTCTAATTTACAAATTAAACTTTATCATAGTCATGTATGTATAGGAGAAAACTTAGTATATGTAGGGTTCAGTACTATCTGTAGTTCCAGGCATCCACTGGGGGTCTTAGAACGTATCCCTGGTGGATAAGGGGGGACTACTGTATGTGTGCCTTTGTGTAACCTGGTGGGGGGAGAGGTGTGCCCTCACTTATACAAACACTGTGCCCTTGTGCTCTGCAAGTTATACAAGAGAAGCCTATGCTCAAGGTGCTAGTGATGGAGCTGAGAAGATGAGACATAACCTCATATTTATTGACATAATCATTATTCATTATTTAATCATTTAAGTCATTTATTATTTAATGACTATTAAACATTATTTAAGTCACACAAGGCAGCAGCATATGGGTGACAAATGCACAATCCAGATTCAGTCTGGAGAAGCTCAAAAATTGGATGAAGGGCTTTATGGAAGCTGGGATTTGAGTTGAGCAATAATACTAATAATAATAATAATAACCCTTTACATATCCATAGTGTATTTATTTACTTATTTTGTTGAGATATAATTCACATACCATAAAATCCTCCAGAAATTCAGCAGTTTTTAGTATAGTCACAAGGTTGTGTAACTATTACCACTAATTTTAGAACACTTTTATTACCCCAAAAAGACACTCTGTAACCATTAGCAGCCACTCCCAATTCCCTCACTCAAGCCCCTGGCAACCACTAATCGACTTTCTGTCTCTACAGATTTGTCTATTCTGGACATTTCATGTAAATGGAATCATATAATATGTGGCCTTTTGTGTCTGGCTTCTGTCACTTAGCATAATATTTCCAAGGTTCATTCATATTGTAGCATGTATCAGTATTTCATTCTTTTTTATGGCCAAATAATATTCCATTATGTGGACATACCGCATTTTGTTTATTCATTATCAGCAGATGGATATTTGGTTGTTTCCACTTTTTGGCTATTATGAATTATGCTGTTATGAACATTTGTGTACAAGTTTTGTGTGAACATGTTTTCAGTTCTCTTGGGTATATACCAAGGAGTGGAATTTCTGGGTCATATGGTAAAACTCTATGCTTCATCATTTGAAGAATTTCCAGACTGTTTCCACAGTGGCTGCACCATTTTACATTCCCACCAGCAGTGTATGAGGCTTGTATGTGGTGTTTTACTAGTTTTGAAATCCCTTTCACACCTGTGATCTCATTTAATCCTCACAAGAGTCCTGCAAGGAATTACACTCATTTTTATAGATAAAGAGATTGTACTAGTGAGGATTCATTCAGGTGCAAGTAACGGAAACTCTACAGAAACTAACTGAAGCAGAAAAGGGAATGTACAAACTTCTGTATCTAGGAAGTGCAAAGGTGATTTGCTGCAGGTATGGGTGGATCAAGACTCTCAAATGAGACTCTTGTCTTTTTTCTCTCGGTCTTCTCTTAGTTTTCCTTCACTCTGCTCTCCTTTCCTGCAGTGGATAGGATTTCTCTGTCCGCTAGAAAGATGTAGCCAACAGTCCCAAGCTTATTCTTTATAGTTTCTAAAGGGAGAGAGACAGCCTTCCCTCCATCAGGCAGAAAAGTCCAGGTTTTGGTTCATGCCCACCCCTGAACCAATTAGTGTCTGGAGCATATGGTACTATAATTGGCTCAGTCTGGAGCACATGCCCAGCTCTGAGGAGTTGGGAAGAGAAGGGCATTATGATTGACAGCCCTACCAAGACCACATATCATAGGAGAGGAGTTCCTGAAAGGACATAGAAAAAGGGGATGACAAAGTATACTGGACAGACAAGATCCACAGTTACTAAGTCCACCTTAGAAATCTAAAGTCAAAGCAGCAAGGGATTCACCCAAGAGCCCACAGCACCTATGTGGCAGAACTGAGATTAGAATCCAGGTGTTCTGACAGCAGGTGCAGAACTCATCACCACATCACAGCTGGATGGGCAAGCAGGTATTTCTGGCCAGGACCACAGGAGCATGGGTAGCCCAGAGAGTCCTGTGAGGGTCCTTGACTTCTCTAGGAAGGAAAGGTGGAGGAGATGGCGTCCCCTCCGAAGGAACCCAGTGCTAGGGTGGGGCACTGACGATAGGAGCCTGGTTCAGCTAGGACCAACACATTCTTCTTCTAGAAAAATATGTGGGGTGGCTTTGGATCTGCTTTCCTTTTGGAGGGTGCCTCTCTTTTTCTACCCTTTCTCTGTGTTTTCACCTCTGTGATCTGGGGTGATCAACTGTCCTGGTTTGCCTGGGACGGAGAGGTTTCTCAGATTTCTGGACTTTCACTGTCAAAACTGGGACAATCCCTGGTTGACTAGGACAAATTGGTCCCCTCTTTCTGTCTGTCTTGGATCCTCTGCCTCACTTTCTTCGACTTTCTTCTCCAACACTCCCTCTCACTGCTTCAAGCCCCAGGTATGTCTCTCTCTCCCACCTCTGAATATTTCTCTCTGCCTTCTCTTCTCTGGTCCTAGGTGCCTCCAGTGCAACCACTCTCCATGTCAAGAGCATGTGGGTGGTGGTCCATCTGGAGGCACACCCTGGCTTCTGGGATCCTTTCTGCCCCAAAAAGGTCCCACTCATGGATCTGGCCTCCTCCTTGTGCCTTGTCTGTTGGTTTGTGCTTAGGAAATACGAGCTCTTTTTT